TGTTTCAGATATGGATTTTGGCATCATGAAACTTGGGCACAGGTTTGTGCTGTAACACTTAACACTTTTCTACCTTTGTTAAATTTGGCAAGTTATTTATATTTTCTTTATATTTTTTTTTTAAAGAGGTTTTTGCCTTAGGACAGGTGCCCTCCCTGGAGAGAGAGACAGACAGACAAGAAACACAGACACAGTGAGGGGGAAAGTGAGAAATCACTTTCTCACTTTCCCCCACCCCCCATGGCCATGCTACAGTCATCTCCCAGAGATGTCCCCGCTACAATCCCTTCTCCATTCTACTTCCAGGATCTTGGGCATGCAAGTACACATGCCCAGCTTGATTTTCAAGCTACCAGGACTGGAACTCAAATGGGTCACCAATGTGGGAGTCCAGTAACTTAACTATTACACTATCTGCTGGTCCCAAGTTATTTATATTTTCTAAGCTTGACTTTCCTCATATAGAAAATGATAATAATGATAATATTATCATTTAAGTTTTTCATGATTAAATGAGTCAATTTAGGTAAATCATTTAACACTATACCTGGAATATAACGAGGACTCAGTAAAGATTAGATGTCATATATAATTTTTAAATAAAATTAAACTGCTTCATAAGAAACATAATTGTTCCCTTATATTTTAACTAGTTTTAAAAAGTTTTAAAAGTATTTGTTGGGAACCAGCAGTTAGCGTAATGGCTATGTCGCTGGACCACGTAGTCGACTGCGGTTTGTGTCCCGGACCTGGAGGCTTAAAACTCACGCCGGGCGCGTGTGCGTGCGTGCCCAAGATCCTGAGAAGAGAATGGAGGAGAAGGGATTGCGGCGTGACCATCCCCCCTGGGGGGTGATTTCTCGCTTTCTGTCTCTATGTCTCTCTCTGTCTGTCTGGCGAGTGCACGCGCCCTACAGTGAAAAATCTCTCCAAAAAAAAAAAAAAAAGTTTTAAAAGTATTTGTTTAAAATTGGTTTTACATTGTCAAAGCTATTTTGGAAACAAACTCTAGGAAGAATTTTTCTCCAGGGTACTCAGGAGAATATTATGATAATGAAGAGCATTTCTTCCATAGCTCAATAATAATTTCATAGAGAATACAAAGAATTTCATTATTCTGCTGGAGTTTTCTTGAATGATCTATGTAAAGTGTAACAAACAGTTGGTCTTTGCCCTAAATAATTAAATGGTCTATTGGAAGTAGAAACTAGTGACAGGAAACAATTAAGAGAGAAACTGTAGCTAGAAAATACAATTTGACAAAGGAGATAATAGAGTGAGCTAACACGTTTTTGACAAAACTTCCTATAATAAACAGAATACGTTTTGCTGACATTATTGGACTACAGCAGACATGTCAAGGCAGGCATTTTCCTGAGAGCTGCTTGGTAAGTTTCTTGAGAATGATGGATAGGAAGTACATGAAAACCTCATTCTTTAGAGCTTCAAAGAGCAATTGTCCATTTAGCCACAGTATTGTAAGTATGGAAGTATCATAGGTAGAAGATACAGGTATCATAGGTATCAATAATGCTTGGGGCTGGCATATGGTGTGGTGGTTGGAGGCACTGGACTTTCACATGGCCGACCATGGTTCGAGTCCTGGACCTGGTGCTTGCTTTCTTGCTTCCTCTCTCTGTCATCAAATTTAAATGAAAAAAAAAAAATTCTGAAAAAAAGAAGCAATTCTCACTTTTGAGTGTAAGTAGGAAAATACTGATCTAGGAAAATGATGATCAGCTTTAATGCATTTAAAACTAACTAAACTCTAAAAAAAGAATACCACTTTTGTTTTGTCACTTAGAACAACAGTTCCAAACAACATTTTTATAATTTCTGGTTATAAATTGAAACATTTTCCATCTCAGTTTTACAATGAATGTTTTAAGCTATTGCAGTGGCTATAACTGAACAATAATATAGTTTTTGTGCTTTAACGTAAAGATATATTTTCTGTATCTTTTAAAATTTTTCCTTATGTTTGATGCTATCTTTTCTCTGATGCTATGTATGCTTCTCTACATTCCTCCTTTTTCAATACAGTTTTTATCATTAATGTGATTATTGATTATCTGTACATTCAGAATGTCGTATAAGGGGAAGCTTACACTTTGTGTATATTTTTGTTAATAAACCTGTGCGACACTAGTTTTTCCTGTTAAATTATATGTATCTTTCAATGCTGTTCTCATTTAGCCAAATTTCTCTAAGTTTAGAATTGTTATTCATTCCTTTTTTTAATCCTCTATATCCAGTAACTGTACCAAGTTTTTTTAAAATATCTTTAGCTTTTTATCCTTGCTCCATTTTCATTCCTTTCTAGGCCCTCATGTCCTCCCATCTGTAGTTCTTCTGCAAATGCTAAATTGGAACAGTTCTTCCTCCACACCACTGTCAAATTAACCCTACACTTCCACTAATCTGAACTGAGCACCTGCAGTGTAGAGTATTAGGTGATGAAAATACATACCAGTTTGAGCAGGAGAAGATTTGGCCAGTAATAGGTCAAGCAGTGTGGCTGCATTAAGTATATTACTTTTGAAAAAGGAATGAGGATTTTGTCCTAAAAGACAATGCACATTCCCAGCATTCATCCCATAGAATAGGATGGAGATATTTTCCTGTAGTGCCATGAAACTTGCAGTTTAGAGGGGAAGCAAAAGTTATTTAATGCAGTGTTTTGAGTGTTATGGTAAAAGTATTATGCTATGGGTCCAGTAAAGATACTTCTAAAGGGTTTGAAAAGGGACTCTCAGAGGAAATAAAGGAGTTAGAATTGGTGAGAAGGCAGTGGTCTAGACTAAAGAAAGAAGTATGACAAGAATTGGAATCAATAGAGTGTATTATGTAACAAGCACTGAGAGATAACAGTGAAACCTGGACTCTGCCATCAGCAGTTGATGTTCTCTGAGCCTTTGTAAGTCGGTGTTATAGAAGTTAAGATCATAGGGACCGGCAGTTAGCGTAATGGCTATGTCGTTGGACTCCCACGTAGTCGACCGTGGTTCAAGTCCCGTACCCGGTGGCTTAAACTCAAGCCAGGCACGTGTGCATGTGTGCCCAAGATCTTGAGAGAATGGAGGAGAAAAGATTACGGCGGCGTGGCCATCTCCCCTGGAGGGTGATTTCTTGCTTTCTGTCTCTCTGTCTCTCTCTGTCTGTCTGGCAAGTGCATGTGCCCTATAGCAAAAAAACAAAACAAAAACAAAAACAAAAACAAAAACAAAAAACAAAAAAAACCCTCCAAAAAAAGAAAAAAAAAAGATTAAAAAAGAAAGTAAAAAAAGAAGTTAAGATCATAAGGATTGGGCTTTGGGACCAGCAGTTGGCGTAATGGCTATGTGGGTGGACTCCCATATAGTCGACTGCGATTGGGGTCCTGGACTGGGTGGCTTAAACTCATGTCAGGTGTGTGTGCGTGCATGCCCAAGATCCCAAGAGGAGAATAGAGGAGAAAAGATGGCAGCATGGCCATCTACCTGGGGGTGATTTCTCGGTTTCTGTCTCTCTGTCTTTCTCTTTCTGGCAAGTGCATGCGCCCTATAGCAAAACCTCTCCAAAAACAAAACAAAACAAACAAACAAAAAAGATTGGGCTTCAAGGTCCAAACATGGCCAAGAGAAATTGGTTGTCTCATCTGACCTTAAACTAAAGGGTTGATAAATGCACAAAATTCAATGTGAATTTCTTGATGCACTGAGAATATACAGCCGTTTCTCAAACAGAGACCTGACAGATCTTTTGATTTCATAGAAGACTGGTATATATAGAGAGAATGCCATTTATTATTTTTACAATCACTGGTGGACTGGATTATCATGTTGGCGTGTGTAATTCATCTTTCCCGTTTAGAGAGACACAACGGAAGGTGGGAGAAAATCATTTGGAGAGTATGGAATTAACATGAGAGCTTCCTCCAAAAGAATTGCTATATTTAAAGGGCCTAGTATGCAGAGTTTTCACAAAGACATCTCCATGGCTGAACTGGTCATGCTGGCCCTAAGTATTATTAGGTTTAGTTAATCAGTCTATACTTAAGAGGTTAGTCTTCATCCAGGAGACAATGGGAATTTCCTGAAGGATTTTTAGGCAGGGATGGGGAACAATCAGATCTGTGTATTTGAAAGATGACATATGTATGAGTTGTATTAGAATAGATACTAGAAGCCAAGGAAATATTTACGAATCAGTTCAAGTAGTCCACGTGGTGAGTCATGGTAGATAAGTAGGGATAAAGAGGAAAGATCAGCATCTATTTTAGTAGGAATTGATTAGATCTACATTATTCCTATTCAGATTCCCACCAAACATCTCTCTTGGTTTTTCTCTATCAAATATTTTTATTTTCTATGTAATGAAACATTTTCTTAAGAGTTTAAATTTGAGTCAAAAGAGGGCTGGTCCCCACATTACTGAAAGCACGATTCAAGTCCTGGACATGGCAGTTAAAAAAACAGGTTGGGTGCATGTGCATGTGAGCCCAAAATCCCAGGAAGGGAATAGATGGGACCAGCAGTTAGCATAATGGCTGTATCACTGGACTCCCATGTAGTTGACTGCATTTTGAGTCCTGAACCTGGTGGCTTAAACTCATGCTGGGCGTGTGTGCCCAAGATCTCGAGAGGAGAATGGAGAAGGGATTGCAGCATGGCCATCCTCCTTGGGGGGCGGGGGGGGG